TAATTCTTATAACCATATACTAATACAAACCCCAATATTACTACAAGCTACAACAAATGTTCTAAAAACCCGATAAGAAACCATCATAACAATAATAACAATATTAATAATAATTATTATTATTATCGTTAAAATTATAATAATTATAACTATAATAATAATAATTGGAATAATAAAATAATTATTACCCATATAATTATATATGATAGGTTCCTCGTATATATTACAGCCAGCATAGTCCTCGAGGTAGCATCTGCTTGTTACAGAAGATAATTATGAAATAAATTATGATCATAATATAATTAGATATAATCTATATCACTAAAATAATTATTATTATTCAATACTACTACTACTACTACTGATGCTACTACTACTACTGCCGCTGCTACTACTACTACTACTACTACTATTACTTCTCTACTGCTACTACTACTACAACTAGTACTACTGCTACTACTACTACTACTACTACTACTTCTCCTACTACTACTACTACTACTACTACTACTACTACTACTACTACTACTACTACTACTACTACTACTACTACTACTACTACTACTACTACTACTACTACTACTACTACTACTACTACTACTACTATTGCCACAACTACTACTACTTCTACTACTACTACTACTACCACAACTAGAAAAAAAGAAAATAAAATTTTGAAAATCAATCAAATTTAAATAAAATAATAACAACAATAATAATAAGTTTCAATAATAATAAGTTTCAATAATAATAATAATAATTAATAATAATAATAATACTAATAATAATAAAATTACAAACCCATTGCTATTAATATTGTTCCAGTTATTATTAATATTGTTGTTGTTGTTTTTCGCATCAGCCACATTTATAACTCTTTGATCCCTTTCCGAATCATCATCCAAGTTAAGCTGTATGTATGTGTGTATGTATGTGTGTATGTATGTATGTGTGTATGTATGTGTGTATGTATGTATGTATGTATGTATGTATGTATGTATGTATGTATGTATGTATGTATGTATGTATGTATGTATGTATGTATGTATGTATGTATGTATGTATGTATGGATGAGTGTGTGTATGTATGTGTGTGTGTGTGTATGTATGTATGTGTGTGCGTGTGCACGTTTGTATATGTGAGTTTCTTTTTTAAATCCAATTAATCACATCAATTTATTATAATTAGAAACATTTATTCATTAACCATCAACATCATCATCAGCACTGGTGACACAGGACATCATCACCATCATCATCAGCAACAGCAACAACAACAACACGTTCATCATCATAATCAACAACATCATCATTATCATCATCATCAACATCATAATCATCATCATCAACAACATCATCACTTTATTGCCATATGGTTCAAATGAATTAAAACCACATTCATCAAGAAAAACATCATCATCATAATTGGAATCATGGAATCATCATCATCGTCGTCATCATCATCATCGTTATCACTATCATCACTATCATCATCATCTTCATCATCATCTTCTCCATCAAACTAATTTGATTAAAATAGATTTCATCAAATAATACCATAAATAAAAATAATTAAAATAATAATAAGTTAATTATCAATATTATTATTATTATTAGCTGACTTTTTCGATATTTAGGCTGTAACACTTGTTTGATCTACCAGTGACATGGCTGTTGTTGTTGTTGTTGTAGCCAATGCTACAATCAATACTCCCTTGGGCTGTTAAAAGATTGTAAATAACAATCAGCTGATCAAAACCAACCAACCAACCAACCAACCAACCATCCAACCAACCAACCAGCCAACCAACTAAATAGCCAATCAGCCAGCCAACTCTCACTATATTACTGAATATTACTACATCTAACTGGTCATAATGTATTTACTTTTGTAAAATAAAACCAAAATATTAATAAATAATTATAACTAATTATATCATAATTATATAAACCATAATTTTTCTTGGTTATTTCTAACCTAATAAAAGGTTACTCTTATCCATGGCATGTAGACCCAAGACATAGAATGTATCCAGAAGATGTCGCCTCTTAATTTGGGCCCCAGTCGATAAGCTCTCACTGGCTAGACTCACTTTGAGATATTGTTCAATTTCAGTCAGGAAATCTGTTGTAAGAAGTAAGGAGTGTCATTGTAGTTGTTTGTTAAGTTTAGTAGTCATTTGATTTAGTTAAGGTAGAAAAATAGTTACACTCTAAATTTCAGATAGGATTGTTTGTTTAGTTCCTTTTTTTTTTAATATTAATAAAATTTGTTTGATTCAATAAGTAAGACTTGTCTGAAATCAAGCCCAACCATACCAAAATTTATACTAAATATCATTTCAAACTTGAAATAATTTTTTATAAAAAATTTAATTCACAATACTCTTCAATTTTCTGAAATAGCTTTTAATTTAAAATATAAAAAATTAAAACTGAACATTAGTTTTTCACAAGTTGTTTTTATTAAAAGCTTTTTTTACCTAACTTATTTAATTTATTCACAAAGCTTCAAACTATAAAAATTATTTAATTTTAATTTAACTTACTTAATTATTAAATTAAAACTTTTTTTATGAAAAAAGAAAATTCGTTTTTTAATTAAATTTATTAAATTAAATTAATTAAATTTAAATTATAAATTAAATCTACCGTGAACTTGCTTCAACTTGTTCATTTTCCTTCCAATTAATTTATAGTAAATTTAAAAAAAAAAACAAATTATTCAAAAATTAATTTTCAGCCAAGCCATCTTCCTCACAAAAAGTTTATTTAGAGCAGAAATAAATAACAACAAATCTAAGCCTAAAAGTCTGTGAAGCCAGCAAGTGAGTGCTGAAAAAATAGCCAAAAGCACTATATATTATTAGCAATGATATTTTTATTCAATCATTTATCAATCAATCAATCAATCAATCAATCAATTAGCCTATAAAGCGCTATTTCCGCGATGTTCAACAGCGCTCCTCAATAAATTTTGAAAACAGATGGGTCTTGGGATCCGCTCTGAACTTCGCAAGTGATGGAGAAGTAGTCAGAGAAGAGAGTTCCAGAGAAAAGGACCAGAAAAAGCAAAGACAGATTTAGCAAAAGAGTGTTTAACACGAGTTAAGAAGAAGCGAGAACAAGAAGACGATCGTAAACCGGGGCGTTTAGGTTCAATTAATATATCTGATAAATACTTAGGAAATAATTTAGATTGAGACTTATACATGAACGTGCAAATTTTAAAAATTATTCTATATTTTATAGGTAGCCAGTGCAAGAGAACAAGATATGGAGATATATAAGAAAAGAAAGGGACACGAGCAACTAGACGAGCAGCAGAGTTAAAAGCTTTACTTAAAGGATAGAGTATAGAGTCAGGAAGACCATAGTAGAACGAGTTACAATAATCAATCCTAGATAAGACTAACAAAGTAACAAGAAGGAGAAGAGAAGGCATCAAGAAAAGGCAAAAGTTTTTTATTCTACGTAGATGAAAGTAAGAGCTTCTAGCAACACTATTAATCTGAGAAGAGAGAGACATAGTAGAATCAAAGATAAAACCTAGACTACGAAACTTATGAGAGACATCAAGAGTTTTAGAATCAGGTACGATAATAGGAGGAATAGTAATAGAGTGTTTAGATTTATTAAAACAAATTAATTCAAACTTAGAAAGATTAAGTTTAAGACACATAGAGTCAGACCAAGCAATAATTGAAGAAAGACATAGAGATAAATTATGAAGAACACTATTGAGATTAGATGGAGGAAAAGAAGTATAAATGTAAGAATTATCAGCATATAGTTGACTAGAGAATAGTTTATATTTAGTTTATAAAGCGCTATTTCCACGATGTACAACAACGCTCCTTAATAAATTTTGCAAACAGATCAGTCTTGAGATTTGCTCTGAACTTTGTAAATGATGGAGAAGTAGTCAGGGAAGGAGGTAGAGTTCCAGAGAAAAGAGCCAGAAAAGCAAATGCGGATTTAGCAAAAGAGTGTTTAACACGGGTTTAAAAAAAAGTGAGAACAAGAAGAAGATCGAAAACCGGAGCGTTTAGGTTCAATTAATATATCTGATAAATACTTAGGAAATAATTTGGATTGAGACTTACACATTAGTGTGCAAATTTAAAAAGATATTCTATAATTTATAGGCAGCTAGTGCAAGAGAACAAGATATGGAGATGTATAAGAAAAAAAGGGACACGAGCAACTAGACGAGCGGCAGAGTTAAAAGCTTAACTTAAAGGATAGAGAGTAGAATCAGGAAGACCATAGTAGAGCGAGTTACAATAATCACTCTTAGATAAAACTAAGGTGTGAATTTTTGCCGCGCGGTGGAATCCTTTCTCTGCTCGAACACAAACAGACGCTGCCCCCAGCGTTGGAAGTTTTGCTTTTGGCCGAATATGTATCTCCGAGTCGGAAAACACGGACATGGCGGAAGAGCTCTCGCGCCCTGCTTGCCAGTCGGATAATCCGGCCTTACTAACCGCTGACAAGTCTTCATCAGACATGTTTTAGACGTTGAACACGACAAACGAAAGCTAACTGAAACAAATTTATTAACAAACAAGAAAAAATAAACTTACGATATTCAGCAAAACGAATATTTTCGAAATGTTTCCCCAACTAAAGGATAAACTAAATTCAACATTTGAAATAAAAGTCAATTCGCAACAACAAAACAGCAGTAATAACTAAACAAAATCTAAACCGCAGAACAATGCTCAAAATATCACCAATTACGAGAACGACCAAAACCAAATACACAGGAACCGAACTAATTAATAACTCACGAACCCTTTTCTTCCCTCTCAAAACAATCGTCCAAAACACTTACTAAATCAAATACTAAATCAACTAAAACACTAAATCAACTGAGAAACCATTAATTCTCCAGCATATTCACTATACTTGCGCAGCAATACCATTCACATAAAACCAATTCACACAACATTCTACCAGCATGTATACAAAACCAGTTCGTGCAACGTTGTACCAGCATGCATACCAGACCAATCCATACAACAAGCGCGCCAAACCATAATGATAAGTTGGGTATCCTTGATAATCAATATCAAGGCTCGTATCATCAACAACCTTACCATGATGGAAATCAAACTGGATATTACCAGTACCAAAATAATGAACTGGGTATTAATGATGACCAATACCAAGGCTCATATCATCAGCAAACTTACAATACTGATAATCAGTTGGGAGATTATCAGTTCCAATATAATGATGAGGTGAATATTAACGATGATCTAAACCAAGGTTTATATCCGCAACAACCTTACCATGATGATAATCAAACTGGATATTACCAGAACCAATATAATGAACTGGGTAATAATGATGACCAATATCATGATGACCAATACCAAGGCTCATATCATCAACAAACTTACCATGATGATGATCAGTTCGTAAATGATCACCAATATAACGAGCAGGATGGAATCAATGAGGATCGTCACAAAAATTTCGGGTCAAATCCTAATAAAAAAGGATTTAATCTTAAAAAAGCTCAAAGATACCTCTATGAATGTTTTCAAAAAGCATTAAACAAATACCTTTGCGATGATAATCTGTAAATATATCGATCCGAGTGTCAGTATTTCCTTTCTTCAGTGTCTTTAAATTTTAAATAGTTACGAAGATTGATCTTCGGCGAATGCATTTGCTAATGTTTGAGAAACCTTACGTAAAATCCACCAAATTGAAAGGCGTGACAATCTTACTAACATTATGAATATTTACTTAATATATCAGGATAAGAACAAGTAACAACAGTGTTTTCTATGGATTTTTTTTTGATCACGTGCAAATTTATAATAGGTTTGCAATTTAATGGCAGATTTTCATAAATAATTTTTTAAAAAATAGTGACAAAAATATAAGAATGACGCCATATAAAATAGGTCCCGAATAGGGGTGAGCATGGGAATAGGATTCTCATGGGAATTGGTAAAACATGATTTTCGGAAATTGGAATTTTAGGAAATAGAGAATCGCGGTTCAGGAATTTTCAAATAAGTCTTAATCTAAATCTTTTCATAAGTACTTATCAGATAACAAAACGTTCTGGTTTACCATCGTCTGTTTGTTCTCCCTTATCTTAACTCGTGTTAAACACTCTTTTGCTAAATCTGCATTTGCTTTTTTAGCCCTTTTCTTTGGAACTCTCTACCTCTTTCTCTGACTACTTCTCAGTTACTTACAATGTTCAGAGCTGATCTCAAGACTAGAGGTGAGCACGGGAACGAAAATTGCGTGAATTCCATAGTTCTTTAAATAACCCTATATAGCTATAAAATAGGGAATGGAAATTTTCAAAAACGTTGTCATAAATTGGAATTCGGGAGAAAATCGGGTATGAGAAAAAAAATGGGAGAAAATTGGGAACAAATTTCAATTCCCGCTCATTAAAAAAAATCCAATCAAGTCGTCCCAGTGTTCATATCACTAAGAGCTTTTAGAATATGGTATATAGAACTTATGGTACACGGTAGGTACACATCATTTGAGATTGGAATATAATGACAATAGAAATCTTCTATAAACTGAAACTGGGATTGGTGTATAGTGACAAAATGATCTTCTATATAATATGATTCACAGTTAAAATTTTATATATTTAGGCTGTGGGTAACCCATTTTAAATAAAATTATTTGATATTTTAAAGATTGCTGTTCTAAAATTAATTTATACTTTGTATATATTCAAATCTCTTGAAGAAAACGCAGCGTGTATCTATTTAAAAATGAGTGGGTTGTTGAAATGTGATTTGTTGTAGTGCTGTGAAATAATTATTAACGCGTTGAAATGTGCGTGTTTGTCGTCTTAATTAATTAGTCAACTCGTTGGCATCAGCAGTTGATAAGAAGTATGGAAGGATGAGAGAGCCAGACAACCCAAACTTGTGTTTTGTTTCCGAAAATTCCGCGGAATAATAACTAACATACCAAATGTTCCCATCACGCGTTTCTCGCACTGATTACAACACCACTTGCAGCGCATTCAACCTTGTATCCCCAATACATATAATATTGACAACTGTTTCATTTCACTTGCAACACCCATCACAGGATTGTCTGGAATGAAACTTCTTGCCACTCATGAGACAAGTTTCTGTACAATCTTGGGTTATTTATTACATTTTCATATATTCAATCGTTCAAACAACATCATTATAGCCCAATTTACAAATTTAAAAAACCGATATTTAAAATTTAGGATGTTGGAGCCGGTTAATTTTCGTGGATTTGTCCTTCAGCAGAGGATTGATGATTCAACAATTTTTGATAAAGATTGGAATGCGTGCGAGGTGTGTTATGTTTGTGCTGTCAAACAACTTTTGTGTGATTTGTAGGCTTTAAATTTCGAATTATTTGCAATATTTCTATCTATTTTTAGAAAGATTTTAAATTTTAATAATGAACAGTTCGAATTTGGAACTAACTTCTGGTTTGGCTCGTAGAAGATGCACCAATTAACGGCATGCATTGGCTAATTACAGATTGAGATTTGAAGTTCTTATCTCTAGTTCTTGATCTTGATACTCTGATGAATATAAGCATTTTATGGTATTTTATCGAGTGATTTCACTTATGCCTTTTCTCCTGCTATAACATACTGCAGAATGATGGTGAAGTTAAACACGTAAGGAACATGATAAATTCATATCGTATGTTCAACTTCCATAGGCTGTTCAAATGACTTGAAATATTTTCGGTGACGTGATAGCGTAATGGTTAAAGACGCCTGATCCTGCTGTTGTAGTGAGTGGGTTTGAATGATGAGAGATTCCTACTCATCACATGCAGTGTGTGTGATTGGTGATCTTCGTATACATATACATATACACACACGTTACGTTGTGTGTGTGTGTCTGTCGTTGATGAAACATCTGAAACAAGTGTGCAAAGAGAGATTGACCTTTAACCTCTTAATCTAGAGACAAAGCCCAGAGAAGGCACCAAGAGCCTCCCCCAATCTAGAATTTAAACTTTACAAAACTTTTATAAAAATTTCGATTTTCAACTGTTTCAATCCTCCCCAAACCGTAAACTTTTGCCATATTTAATAATAAAATAACTTTTAATAGAAAAATTTGACAAAAAAATTTGGAATAAAACTAAATAAAGTTTAATCATTATTGCCAACATTTTTTCAACAAAACACTCAAACCCACAACAATTTTATCTTAAAAAATCCAACGGGGCCTGACACAAAATTCTCTGACTGTGGTTTTACAACCGCCGCTGAAATATTATTGCCCTATTTAATGGTAAATTAGTAAAGAAAAACAATTTTTCCATCAACTATGCTTTTCCAATGTGAAATATTTGTAGCTCTATGTGATGGGATATTTCTTTGCTATAAAACTATTTCATATTCTTTTTATATATAGGATATATATAATTTATATTTAAGCTGTTCTAAATTTTTTCGTACTATATTTTACATTTATTTATATTTGGTTTTAATATCCAAACTGTTTATATATTTTTATAGCATGCTTCATTTTTTGAACGAATGATTGGTTAAATGAATTAATGAATGAATTAATAAATGAATGAATTAATGAATGAATTAACGAACGAATGAATGAACTGTTACATTCATGAAATAAAAGCATCTGGAAACGTTTTTGAGACACGTAAAGTCAAAATTGGAAATTAATTGAAACCAAGCAGCCTCGATGAATCTGTTTGTTTGTGCCGTAAAACGTCAATTAATTTCAAAAAATTTGATAGGATGCTGGCGGAGTCAGTTTCAGTGAAAAAGTCACTCAGATTGCTGGAAGAGACGAGAGTTGCATCCAGCCCTGACCATTAATCTCCAATTTCCAAAAACTTTTCTGAGCTATAAACACTTTCCAATCCTTGTAAAAAAAAATAATTCCACACCAGACCCCAAAAATTAGCATTATCTAAACTGTTGCGAAATCTAATTTACTTTTTTTCATATGTGGAATAGAAATTGTAGGGACTAACTTCTCTAATAAAAATAAGACCTTTAACTTTTTTGATTTGGACGAGTTTTCTTAAACAAGGATAAGTATTTAAGATAGAAAATAAACTTCTTGTAAGTTGGTAGTTCCTACCGAATCACTTAGCACCAACTTATCGATCATTTAAACGTTCACCAGCTTAAAACGATGAAAATTTATTGAAAAACATTAACTCGTGTCGATAATAATGCCTAAATTTAAGATGCTGATACGTTTTGGGCCATTCAGCGTTAATGTGTAACTCCTAACGCAAGCTTTGAGTTTGAAATTTTTCGGATTACCGAATTCGTAGAATTCTTGCTATGAGCTACTTGGGTCAGGTACTAAACAATTATGAAAAAATTTAGCTTGCTAGAAGAAAGACCCTGGCATGCAAAGTTTATACTGTAGTATTTGGTATATAAATATATATTTGTAATTGACAACAATAATAACAAATTATGAAAACAAGTTGTATCATCTTAGATCACCATGACCATCAACCGTGCCATTAGTCCATTCATCCATCCGCTTGTTCATTCAATCTTTCAATGATTCTCTCGTCTCGTCCATCCATCCATCTATTCATTCATTCATTCGTCCATCCATCCATCCATTCATTCATTCATATGAATGTATAAAGACAAATAACATTAACCATCGTCATCATTATCACCATTAGTAGTAGTAGTAGTAGTGATAGTATCATTCATTATTATTACCATTATTAATTATTATTATTATTAGCCGTAAATATTATTATTATCATCATTATTAATTATTATTATTAGTTGTAATTATTATATTATTCATAATTATTATTATAAATTATTAAAATTATAATTTATTAATTCCCTCGTCAAGCTTTAGAATAGAAGAGTATGTAAGCTGCTGACGTCTAGAATACATGAGGAGAAATATTTTTCAACTTTTAATAAAAATTATTGAGTAAATTGATAATTTAATCATTCACAAATTTATTTATTCATTCCTCTATCCATCCATTCAGTCATTCATTCATTCATCCATCCATCTATTCATCCATCCATCCATCCATCCATTCATTCATCCATCCATCCATTCATTCATTCATTCATCCTCCGATTTAATCATTCATACATCCAACCAATCACACAACCAATCATCATTCAGTCCAATCACTCTTTTGCTCATTCAGCAATCAGCCATCCATTCACTCACTCACTCATTCATTCACTCATTCATTCACTCACTCATTCACCCACTCACTCACTCACCCACTCACTCACTCACTCACTCACTCACTCACTCACTCACTCACTCACTCACTCACTCACTCACTCACTCACTCACTCACTCTCTCATTCATTCATTCATTCATTCATTCATTCATTCATTCATTCATTCATTCAAATGAATATTCAAAAAAAAACTTGTAAAGATGCAGAAGATATATCAGAAACATCACTATCGTCAAATTTGAACCAGGTTTTTAGTTGGGAATTTTTGCAATAAGCTGTGTCTGTATGTACGTATGTGTGTGTATGTATGTGTATGTATGTGTTTGTATGTATGTATGTATGTATATGTATGTATGTATGTGTATGTATGTGTGTGTG